AGGCTATAGCCTACCCTAGCCTTATGCTAGCTACGCCCTTGGCTCTCGTCCATTGGAACAACTTCCATTGCTGATTCTTCCATTTTGCCAGGATTTTGTGTCTTGGCGGCAGTTCGCCGCAGTTGGCGCTTGTTTTAAAGGTCACGTGATCCAGGTCCAACCGGTACCACGCCCACAACGTCATCCGAAGTTAACACCCATGCAAAAGGGCGTAGCTCGGTTTAGCCAACTGCAACAGTATGGCTACAAAAATGGATATTACAGCTACTAGGAGAGTGTTTCTTTTAGGTAAAACTCACTCTATTTAAAGAGAAAGAGAGAAATTATACTCCCCTCACTTTTTGTCGCTGTTTAATAGCACATCATATGAAATTTTTATTCATTTTTAGACATCAGTCATATGAAGTTAGTAAGAGATGTTTTGAAGAAAAGTCACTTTATTAATGCTAACTGGTTTGATCTTGGAGAGGAGTTAAACCTACCTTATCCTCAATTGAAGAATATTGAAGATACTTATGTGAATAATCCATCACGTTGCTTGAGGGAGTGTTTAAACTTGTGGTTGACTTCAGCTAATAATCGTACTTGGGAATCATTAGCTAGTGCACTTGAGAGAATGAATCAATGCACAGCTGCTAGACACATCCGCAAAATTACTACTAATACTGTACCATCAGGTAATGGTTATTAGTACATTAATTGATAATGATTATTATTGAATATAATTATTATCATAGGTGGCATTCATATTTGTAAAACCCGACCACTGGTTTTTCTTATTTCTATTATTTTTTTATTTTTATCTTTTGTTATTAATTATTTTTATTGCTTTTCTACTCTAGTATATTTATGTTTATTTTTCATCTTATTATCATTATCATTATTATATTGTATCATTTGCTCTACTAATAGAAGGCAATCGAGCTCATCTATTGCTCCAGTATCAATAGGTAACATTAATTTACCATTAGATTGTAATATAAGTAGCATGTACCATGATGACCACTAATTGATTTTAGTAATTTCTTATAGCTGGTGGTGAGTTCTTTTTCAATGCAGCACATAAGCCTATTTTTAATGAAGTCAGAGGAAGTTTTATAATTCTTTGTGATGAGCTGGTTCCATTGATATCTCAATCAAAAGCAACAGTTACCGAAGTAAAGTCATTTCTACTAAAATCCTTCCCAGAACTAAGTGCTGAGCTGTCTAATGCTGATAGTATTGAAGACATTATGAATGTTGTGGTACAGAAATGCTGCATCAATGATATTTCAATAATAAAAACAATTGTAAAGAAGTTTCAAATCACTGAAGCAAAACCACTGATATCAGAATATGAGAAAGAAGTGAAGACAGTTTGTGGATCATTGAAGGATTTCCTTAGTCTGAATCAACCTGAGTATTTCAACCATTCTGAAACAATTCAGTTTACTTTGGGATGGCAACCAGAGGAGCACTCACTTGATGACATACGTAATCTCTTAGAGGAAGCATTTAAAGAATTAAACAAGAGGATTATCATACGAAGCATTCATCGTGGGAACTCCATCATTATCATCTGTTATGCTCCACATCATTTACTAGCTGCTCTTCTCTTGGAAGCACAACACAACCTAACTGTCTTGATGAAGGAATTCAGTTTAATTAGACTAACCATTGGCCACTACACTGTCTATGATAAAAGGATCAGATACAAAGTATAAGATACCGTAACTGTATGAGACCTTGTTTAATATTATGTACTGATTATAGGTAATGAATAATGAGTGTCTTGCAGAGGAGATTAAACTAGCTGATGGAAAGGAACAAGAACTGAGGACTTTATTTGATTACAAAGAAGGTGTGATAGTTGATCTATTACTCAATTACTGATGTTACCTGTACTAATGGTATAGGATCAACATTGA